CTGTCGTGTCCCGGTTTTCCTTCAGATTTCCTTATCCAAATCCAAGTTGGAAGATAGAGACAGTGTAAGTACGTATAGAGACCCGAGCTTATCTTAACGCGCATAGACGATAACGACTGAGAAAATGAGACAAAAGGGAATTCTTCTATAGCTATTTTCCAAAAGGTGCTTTCTTCAGTACCGTGTTCAGGACGTCCTAGATGATTCACTTAAGATACGTAAAGAGCAAACGTGTTCGAAGCACATACACATTCGTTCATAATTATTAGCACATCTGCTGAGTTTCATAGGAAACGTGATAATTAGTAGGCGGAGAGCTTTTATGCAAATTTATGTTTTCGAGAATATAATCAAAGAAGTATAGACCAGGCAGGCGATTTTCTTATCTATTAGGTTGTCTGAAAAGTTTCTTTCGTTTTATAAGGAAATAATAGACGCACAATGTTCTTTCTTTTATATTAGTCTATTGAATTATGCACGAACATAATAATAGAAATATAACGAAATGGGTCATACCTAATTCAATAAAATGATATCAAACAGAAATTGTTGTTCATCAAAATTTTTTTTTATTATTTAATTTGTACTTTATAATTTGTTCAGTTGGACATTCGATAAATTTTTCTAACTTAATTGCTAAATAACGTGTGGATGGCTACCCCCAGCGGGTTACTATCTTCGAGTTTGACTATTTTATTTCTTCAGTCAGGTCTGTGGGGTGTTTTCTCGACCAAAGGTCTTCTTTTCTATTTAATTTGTACTTTACAATTTGTTCAGTTGGACATTTGGTAAATTTTTCTAACTTGATTGCTAAATAACATGTGGATGGCTACTCCCAGCGTAATACCATCTTCGAATTTGACTGTTTTATTTCTTTAGTAAGGTCAGTGGGATGTCTTCTTTTTAGTCTTCTGTCTATGAGAGTTTTGCTCGCTTCGACAACACCTGGTTTGAATGTGTTGCCGTTCTTTCCTTGTATTTTTCTGCGTACAAGCCAATTACCGAGCAAAGTACTATATTTTTTTCAAATGAACTTTGTGTCTCTCTGAAAGATTTAGATTATTCATTCGTTTTTTTTTATTTAGTTGTTTACATTCATAATTTGTCCGATTTGGACATTTGGTAGAATTTTTTGGCTGTCTGATTATCATGTGGGTGGCTACCCCCAGTGGGGTACCATCTTTGTGTTTGTTAGGTTATATCCTTTGTGAGGATTATTCATTCGTGTTGAGGATTTATCTTGGAATAGAGAGAGGAAATAAGTACGATATGTATACCAGTCCAGATCCTCACACTGCCAGCGTTACTTTACGAAACAGCTCCAAAGCCACGGTGTATTAATACAACTACGAAGATCTACCCGTCTATACTCGGCTGCACCATCTTTGCAGGGTTTGCTCCTAGAAAAAGCTATAAGGCTAAGAGGCTATTCCTTCAAATTGATTTAGAGATAAACAATACCTACTAGCTTCGAGGACTAAGAAAACCAAACACTAAAGAAGATGTAGAGTTCTCCTAGAAGCGAGAATCACTTTGACAATTCGTACACCGTAACACTGTTGGAAGCAGGATAACTGGCAACAGGCCAGGAAACAGAATCGTTTGCTCGCAATTAGATATATCAAACGGCGAATGTTTCCATGCCTATGAATCGAAGATACAGCATCCTCTTTGGATACAGAATCCCTGCCACCTTTTCCTGCAGATAACAGAGCCTAGCGTACCATCCGTAATTATCTGTAATGGATAACTCGACTGCCTCTTCCAGCTTTGCTCTGGCGGAACAAGGCTCGAGCGATTAAGACTGAACTTTCTTCGCTGTTGGCGTTCATTACGTTACGTTGGTTCCACGCAAACGGATTAACAGACCAGGAAGGAAGATTTCGAAAGTCTACTTTATTATTCCGGCACGTTGCACCATTCGATCTATTTCGTAGCGCCACAATTGCGGCTGGTTTCCGATAAAAGGACGCGCCACAATAAACTATGTATCTTTGCTTCAAGATTTAAGCGGCTGCCAGCCGACGAGAGTTCGCGTTAAGCGCATCTGGTCTTACCGGTCGCGTTTGTCTTTAATACTCGCTCGTTCGCGTTTACTCGTATTCACGTTGCTGCACGTAACTTTGCAACATCCCTTATTGAACAGCGAGTGCAGGTCTCTTCGGACTTGCAGTAATAATATATACGAAGGAGACTACGAGTACAGTGGAAGAAGACTTTCAGAGTATGTCTTTTTCCACGCAGGTATCGTCCAGCGTACGACTTTGCCGTTTTCTTATTTTCAGACAATAATTAACATCGGAAACTAAATTGGAACGTTGGGAAGTAAATAGTCGTCGTGTATCTGCAAGGTGAGTAGCTGTTTAACGTGCTAGATGTATCTATGGTGTTATTATCTTGCTTGGAAAATAGTAAATATTAATTGCGTCTTTTGATGTACCGTTTTTGGTAGGAAATGTTTTTAAAGTTTAATATTAGTACAATAAAAATGTACAATCCAGCGTAGATATTGGTCGGAGATTTCAACTTTCATAGATTTCGAATCAGCTTTGTATTAAGCACGTGTTTAGTCTACAGAATTCTTGGCGATGCTTTGGTAATATGTACGATATTTTAAACGATATTTCGTAGGAAGAAAGTTAATTCGACGCGAAGCTAATTATAAATATCGAAGACATCGTGAAGCATAGATGAAACATGGCCTATTCAATTGTTGCCAATTAACTCAATCCCTCTCTGTCATCTTTTATTGTATTATTAATTGATTATAATCCTGTGAGTAGCTTTGTTAATAAATTGTCGACTTTGTTAATAAATTACTTTTATCCGATACTCGATGAATGGCTGTTTCCTCATGCGAGTTGTAATAAGAAAGTGATTGTCAATGGCAACGTAAGCTATGAAAGTGTTGGTTCCAGCTTCATTCATGGTTAGGAACGGCATTTCCGAGGTCATCGATGCCATGACCTGGCTCAATAGTCGTCAAACCAGTCTCAGGAAATCCGAACAGGTTACTTAATTTACCGTCGCTAGCATGAAGCCAGCAATGTTATTAACAGTACCGCAGAGAAGAGATGATATCCGGTCCTCGAACAGCGAGATGCAGTAAAAATCTGAATAACACAGATCAAGATAAAATTAAATAATAAATTTGAAACGTCAAACGTGGTTTCCATCGTTAATGAAGTCATTATCAAGACAAACGATCGATCAGCAAATATACGTACCTATACTTATCATTAGCACGTATACCGTGTAAATTGATACGAAACAGCATAATTAGCAAGAATCGTTTATTTGAATAGAACATTTTAAGCCGAAGAAATATTAGCTATTTCGTAACATCGTACGCATTAATAATACTCACTATTAGAAGAATCAAAAGTTGTCCGCTTGTGACTACGTTTAGGATCATTATACAAATTTATAGTTTAACAGAATTACCGATAGTTAACACGAAGCTATTCTATCAAAACCAGACAAAATGACTGGTCTTTAAAACATACGTAATAATAGAATATATTTATATTTATTGATTTATTACTTTCTCATGTTATGTAGTACATTTTTGATATTATTAATCCATGGTCCCTAAAAGAGGGTTGAAACATTTATAAAATTGTAGAATCAATCATTTTGACTGGTGTGGTGTTTCTAGTGTTAGCATCTAGCGATCTAGCGATCGATCCGGAATTTTTCTGATAACTGATATCATCGTATCGAATGATACGCAGTAAAAATTGTAAAAACGTGTGGGAAGCTGTACGAAACGAGAAAATTGGTTAATTGGGGTTCGATAAACAGGTTACAGGACCCTTTTACATTTTGACAAGTATCAGTCATTTCGATTGGTATTGGTATAAGTAGCCTTGATACAAAATTATTTCGAGTTTGAATACATAACAAACAAAATAAAATTGATTATATTATTCTTTTAGTTATCACTGCGAAAGTCATTACATCATTGCGGAAAAAAATATAACATGAAGTAGGAATTTTAAAATAAAATTGTAAAACCAGTTTTCCTTGGAAAAGACTTATAGAAGAAAACTTGATTTTTATTTAAATGGAAACCAGCTATCAATAGAATTCAAAAAAGTTTCTCAAGAAATGAAATTATTCAAAGATATTAATTTTTAATTGATCCATTGTGAATGATTCAATTTTTATTTGGCTGTCAGTAAACGTTATCGATGACGGAGATCTAATTTTTTGAAACTTACCAATAATCGTTATCGATGATCCGAATTTTATTTTGGTTACCGATAATCATTATCAATAGCGAAAAACCTTTTGGTTACGTTCGACTACCATAAGTTTTATAATTAGTATCTTTTTACTTTGTCAATGAGTAATGTTAATAACAACTGACGATAATCGAATGTATACAGGAAAATTTATTGTCGTCAATAATGGTTATCAGTAACGAAAACAAAATTCTCCTCATTGATAACGATTAATGGTAACAAAAAAAAAGTACCTGTTGTTTATATTCGTCACTAGTAAACAAAATTAAATTTCCCTTATCGATAACGATTATTCGTAAACAAAAAAAAATTCTCATTATCGACAATGACTACCAATAATCAACAAAATTTGGATCTTTTGCAATAGTTATCCGTAATCAAGATTTCTTAGTTAAAAATATTAACTTTTATGTCATGACGTCTAAAATATATCTTATAATAGTTTACTCTGTTTAGTAAGATAAATAGAGAAAAGAAGCTACAGTTCGAAATCATAGTTCACATAAATAAAACATTAGATTTTTGGAAAAAGCTAATTTCTTCGGACAAAGAAAAATTCATAAATTCAATTTTCGACGGTACAGGTGAGCTGGTCGAAATGGTTGTAACAAAAATGTAAACGACTAGAGCAACGATTACATATACGGAAACAACAATAATTCCAATAAAAGCCTCATTGTGTCGTTATAAACGTGGGAATGATAATGACGCATAATTGCTGTCTTCCAAAGAATACGTTCGTGAGCGTAATTTGCACTTTTTTCATTTATACAGTTAAAGGTCTAAATGTATCTTGAGAGTTTGAAACTACTGCCACGAATTCAAATTGTTAAATTCAGTGTTCAATGTATTAAATGTTACCAAGTTCGAAATATAATATAAATATAATTTTTGTTTAATTATCACACAGATAGTTAAAAATAATGAGTTTAATACCATATCTACGTTCTGTATGTACACATTTATATGTGTTGCATGAAATATATATGTAACATAACCCTATTCTTAAACTAAATTAGAAATGAAATATTTTTTTCAGATATTAATTAATCAAAATAATGTTGCGAAAAGATATTTACATGTCAGCACAATACTTCATAAAGTACAAGCTGGACGTTATAGACCAAAACCAAAGGTAGTGCAACCACTTACATATGAAATGGCATATCCACTACATGAAATTGTTGCTAAAAAGTCATGGAACTCATGAAATACATGTAGGTATACTTTATAATTTGTTTTACTAATAAAACAACTTTTAATGGTAATATTAAATTAAAATTATATACAAAATTTAAAATTTGTTTTAGTTTTATATTATGTTCATTCAACTTTTTATATATTTACACGTTATTTGAATATATATGGATTGTTAAATGTATTTTTTCTTTTAGCAAATGTAAAGGATGGATGCCAGCCCATGTAAAATTAATTTTTAAATTATCACTAAGTAAGTAACATTTTTAATTTAATTTAATTTAATTGAATACATAAAAAGCAAAATAAAATTCATTATATTATTCTTTTAGTTATCGTTGCAAAAGTCATTTCATCATTGTGGAAGAAGATATAACATGAAGCAGGAATTTTAAAATAAAATTGTAAAACCAGTTTTCCTTGGAAAAGACTTATAGAAGAAAACTTGATTTTTATTTAAATGGAAACCAGCTATCAATAGAATTCAAAAAAGTTTCTCAAGAAATGAAATTATTCAAAGATATTAATTTTTAATTGATCCATTGTGAATGATTCAATTTTTATTTGGCTGTCAGTAAACGTTATCGATGACGGAGATCTAATTTTTTGAAACTTACCAATAATCGTTATCGATGATCCGAATTTTATTTTGGTTACCGATAATCATTATCAATAGCGAAAAACCTTTTGGTTACGTTCGACTACCATAAGTTTTATAATTAGTATCTTTTTACTTTGTCAATGAGTAATGTTAATAACAACTGACGATAATCGAATGTATACAGGAAAATTTATTGTCGTCAATAATGGTTATCAGTAACGAAAACAAAATTCTCCTCATTGATAACGATTAATGGTAACAAAAAAAAAGTACCTGTTGTTTATATTCGTCACTAGTAAACAAAATTAAATTTCCCTTATCGATAACGATTATTCGTAAACAAAAAAAAATTCTCATTATCGACAATGACTACCAATAATCAACAAAATTTGGATCTTTTGCAATAGTTATCCGTAATCAAGATTTCTTAGTTAAAAATATTAACTTTTATGTCATGACGTCTAAAATATATCTTATAATAGTTTACTCTGTTTAGTAAGATAAATAGAGAAAAGAAGCTACAGTTCGAAATCATAGTTCACATAAATAAAACATTAGATTTTTGGAAAAAGCTAATTTCTTCGGACAAAGAAAAATTCATAAATTCAATTTTCGACGGTACAGGTGAGCTGGTCGAAATGGTTGTAACAAAAATGTAAACGACTAGAGCAACGATTACATATACGGAAACAACAATAATTCCAATAAAAGCCTCATTGTGTCGTTATAAACGTGGGAATGATAATGACGCATAATTGCTGTCTTCCAAAGAATACGTTCGTGAGCGGCCCATAATGATCATGATTGTCAGGGTCGTCACGAGAAGTGCAAGAAGTAATTTGCACGGTCCTGCTGGCATAGTCGTTAGTCGCATTCCGCGTTGCTGCACGTACGGACTTATCACGACCAACAGATTTCAAATAATTCCACGTGTTTCGAGACCACAATGCAAGACAGGAAAAAGAGTAGTCAGTGGTATACTAGTGGCCTATACTTGAAATTTCAGGACTGGATCGACCCATGCTTTCTAATTGCATCAAATGAATTTTCGTTGAAACGACGCAGCAGAAATTACAAAATGGAAAACCACGTCAAAACGTTTTGTATTGTCCTCGTGTTCAGAATCCACTGCCGAAGCGATTCCCCGTGCGGTAGCTGCACAGTGCATTCAGCAGGTTCCGTGTTATCGAGAACACAGTTTTTAAGGCGCATGAAATTTTATTATCATTCAACGTACATAGTTTTCCTATACATCCAAATCTGGTAAGTAGAGGCCACAAAATAAAAAATGAAAAGGATGTTGATGAAGGTTGTTGACTGATTCACCGAATTTGTGTCCCCTGGCTAGACTATAGTCGATCATCTGTAACTGAATCAGACTGTAACTGGATCACTTTACGCAGACGTACTTGATCGTCTTTGGAAAGAATTCGTAGGGTCAACCGGAACACGTACCAATTACGAGAATGGTTTCTCCTGCACGACAGTGCTTCGGTACACTAGTCGTTGATTACCTTCGTTTCCATCATTCGTTTCTATCAGCAACCTTTTGCTAGAAAATCGGTTGCAGCGATTCATCTTTCACTCTTTCATCTTCTACTGTCCGGGTTTGGCGCCTGCTGACTTGTTTCTGTTTCCTAAGCTGAAAGTGGCACTACGAGGATAGCGTGTTTGGACGATGTAGAAACGATCCAGAAGAACGTGACAGTTCTTTCAAGTCCAATTTCAAAAGAGGACTACGCACAGCGAAAGGATGCACGTTGACTAATAGATAATGAAATTTCATTTATCTGAAAAGCTGTGTTCTTAATAACGTTGGTCCCGGAATTTCCTGAGCGAACTGTGTATACGAGACACCCTGTATATTGCAATGTAGAGAAGCTGAAGAATAATGGAACGTTTGTAACGAAACGTTCAAAAGGCTGTAATTAAATAAACAGATCAAAGAAGAGATAGACGAAGCTACGGGAAGAGAAGAGATTGACAGTACAATCGGGTCATTGGATGTAATAACAGCGGCCTATTATTATAAGTAATGAATAGCATGACTCATAATGAAATGATTTATCTCATTTATTCCATAGTCAATCAGACAATGGGTTCCTTTTAGTTGACCACAACAGTGGCGATGGGAGCGATGGTAATAGTGACGGTAGTGACAGTGGTATCAGCAGAAGAACGGTTGTTCGCGCCGTGTCTTTCTGGCACTGGGTTTCTCTAGCTCTTTCACAATATCGTGGCAACGCTTGCAATAAATCTGTGGTGTGGTGCGATATGGCAATCGGCAGGCTGCGTGACATTTCGATGCTACGAAACTCACTGATGCTGTGATTCGATGTTGATCGACGGCCAAGGTATTCGTCGTTGGATTAGATCACGTCATCTGGTCACAAGGTAGCATTTATTATCGTTGCAACGTGCTTTTGTTAAAACAATTTTCTATTTCGTACTATACAGTGTTTAATAATCATTTAATTCAAACTGAAAGGGATCTGCATTATTAGAATGGCCTAATATTTAAAGGAGCTACTATCCAAATATTGAGTTATCTAAACAGAACGTCTGTTAGTGACAAATGCTGTTAGTAATTTCCATATTTTTCTGTTTGAAATACCATTCTTACATTTAATAGTAGGATGTCTTAGCTAAATGAGTTCAGCTAAATGTCTGCCTTATTTATGGGTGTATGAGAGTATTTTCTTGTCAGGACAAAGTTTAGCTATTTGAAGCTTTGTAATGTGGCTTGTGTGTGATACAGTATTTATGGAAATAATTGCACTGAGAGGCATCATCGTGATCCGCATCAACACCTGTTTTGGTATATGTAAACAAAGATGTACTCAACAACACACTTGGTTATTGATTTTGGCAACTAAGTGATTGCGAATTTTGTCATTAGGTGATAACCCAATGCCAATCCAATAGTTCCAGTACGTCTACAACAAATCATGAACTTACGTTCTACAAAGATCCTCAAAAGTACTTCATTAGAGGAATAATAGAGTGATGGAACGAAGAATAGAGAAATTTAAGACTTATCAAGCTACGCTAAGTCTGTAACAATATAAATGATGACAATCTGGCTTTACTGTTGAATGGAAAAGATCAAGTAACATTAACTCGATTAAGAATAAGACACAACTCTACCTTGTTATCAAAACTGAGCTAAATATTTGTGATATTTAAGGCATATTGAGCTTCATCGAAGGTATCCTAATCTCCTACCTTAATTAGAATATTAGAAGGGTACAACATGACCTGACAAACTTTAAAACTGAATAACATGCTATAAAAAGAAGACTCTGACAAAAAAGCTCCAGATTTTCTGAAAGATATTGCTTTACAATAATTATGTGTTCTGTCTCACTGAGCATTCTCACCTGGTCATTAATAATCTTAGGAGTTACACGTTGATCTTAAACACACAATAAAAAAGAAAGATGACGTATAGTACTAGACATGTGGCTGATGCTTGTATTCTATTTAATATAAGTAGGAAAAGAAGATGGTGAGTTGCTAACAGTAAACAGTGGATGAATAATATTGTACGTATGTTTCTTAACTAACGTGCCATGCTGTGTGAGCCACAGGTGGCTTACATGTACTATACTTTCTGTTTACACGGTTGATGTTTGCAGAATAAACAGATAGCTTATTATTGTAAAATATTTCAAATATTTACAGATAATTAGCGATTAATTATGTGTGCAATTACGTATTCGTAACTATGAACAATAGAAATTTCATGTTTTATATTGTATCATACAGAATGTCCACTTTAAACGCATATATGTTATCTATTATTTCATTATTTATTGAAATTGTTATTGTTATTTCAGTCAATCAATATTGTTATCAATTGTTATATACAGAGATATCGATACCAATGTATTTCTTTAAATTATTCTATCATCATCAATTTATTATACATTTCACGATGTATTCAACGATATGAATGGGATGTGAAGAATATGATCGATGTACGAACAGAAATTTCCGGTGTCTTTATAAATGTTTATGCTAAGTTTTAAATTGGATAACACGGAGACGATGGATAATGGGATACAGACACACGTACCTTCGCCTATTGTCACAGAGTAAACTGATTTAGCAATGAAAAGAAAAGCAACAAACTAATCTTGAGAGCAACTCGTCTGCGTGAAATTACTAAAAAACTACTTACAAATCATGGAAATCATGAATCATGGAAAACGTTGCAACTAAAGTATTAGAAAATGTTTGCTTAAAAATCATTAAAAAAGACAGCAGTGGTTTACTTTGGTTACTGCAAGATAAAATTGGAAAATTAACAAATCGCTACGTATTATGTATTTTGAGTTGCGTTCAACAATGATGAACATATTCGGACAATAATTTCAAATGTAGCTAAAACATTTGTTGCATTGACTAAATGTGAAGTTTGTTTTTTCGACCGAAAGTTATAGGAAGCTTACATGCAATGACATAATTATTATGTAAAATCCTACAGAGCTACATTTACTGTAAAAAGCGTAGGATATCATTGAATACATTCATATTACGATGTATTATTTAAAAAAAGTGGAGTCTATGTTATTTGTATTATGTATTTAAAAAAGGTCAGAAATATTAGCATCAAGTATTACACCATACCGTAAAGTTTGTAATAAATTCCAAAAAAAGCGATGGCTTTGTTTTATCGTATGTTTACATGTATCTGTGGTAAAACTACAGTTTTACTACAGCTGTTTATACTCCAAACATCAAGATTTTAAATAGAAAATACAGCATGGGCCACCTGTGGCTCACATAGCATGAAACATATTAATTAAGATACATATGATATCACTTAATCGCTACTCATTGTTAAATTCTCATATTTTCGGATACTACGTGTTCTTTAGTGATTTATAAATATGGAAAATGTGGAGAAGCAAAAGAATAAAAACTTCGTTTCATTACATTTAGTCAATGCAACAAGTATTTTAATTATATTTTAAATTTTTTTCAAACATGCATATCATATACATTATTAAAGGTATCGTGAAATACAAAACGACGATTTGTTGATTTGCAATTTTATCTTAATAATTGAAATAAAACTGGACTTCCAATAATAATTGAAATTGCTTTAATGAATTTTACAGAAACATATTGTGATGCCTTAATTGCGACATTTTTCAATATCGTATCTTTATAAATGCTTAGGAAACGAAAATTCAATTCAAATTTTCTCTATCAGTTTTAATAGACAGTTTTCATAGACAAAATTCTTACAGGAAGAAACTTGCTAACAAGTTAATATCGCTGTCTTTCTAAATAGCACACGTGCATTTCAAATAATATTTAATACTTCCAACAAATTAGGTTCGATCTTGGAAATGATCAAGTTTCTTCAGAAAATCATTTATATTTCTTAGATTAATTTCCATATGTAATAAATTTATTAAACGCATTGTAACTTACATGTTGGTCTCGTCCTATTCGGTCTCGTCAATGGAATCCATGGTCTTTGAGGTGGATGATTTGCAGTAACTGAAACAAGAAATTTGTATTAATTAGTAAAGGCAGCGCCAAATTATAAAACGTAATTAATGGCATATTTATGAACTAATTTACGCATTTATCAAATTATATATTTGTATATTATACACGTGTATTTTTGGAAGACTTATTTTATTTATTTATTTGTTTAAAGTGAAAAATCAGCAAGTCGCTTGTAATCATTTTGAAAACTGAAGGTCATTTTAATATTGTGCAAATAATGAGTGCATTTAATGTGTGCGAATAAATTTTCTGTAGTTATTCACTGAAATATTTACAACGTTTATTACGTAATTAAGATGAATCTGTATGAATACCAAACAAGTATCAATTCCATGCATAGCAATTAGTTACAGGTGTATGCTGTCAACTTAAGTACTATCGAATTAAACATAGCATACTCTCAATTTACAACAATTGCATAAAATACGAAGCGATATTTTAATTATTAACAATATTAACCGTTATTAAATTAGAGAAAAATAATTAAAAAATCCAGAGTACTCGATAAAAGATTAGAGGTAGGGTTTAATAAATGATAATAGATAATAATAATAGAATAAATAATAAAAGAGGTAGTTTGGAGTTAGAGTAAGAATGTTTTCACAGACCAAAGTGTTCAACTTTTGGAATTTTTGAAAGTTTGGTGCTAAAGCACTTGAACGATATACAGAGTGGTTGGTAACTGGTGCTACAAGCGGAAAGGGGGTGATTCTACGTGAAAAAAGAAGTCGAAAATACAGAATAAAAATTTTTCGTTCGAGGCTTTGTTTTCGAGAAAATCGACTTTGAATTTTGGCTCGGTACGCGTGCACTTTATCGCGTCTCGTTATAACGAATCTCACTGTAGATTGTTGTCTCGATGGAAAAATGAAAAAAAAAAATTTATTCTATATTTTCAACTTCTTTTTTCGCGTAGAATCACCCTCTTTCCGCTTGTACCACCAGTTACCAACCACTCTGTATAATCTCATCAATTTTGTCTACTTGAAGCAGTTGCTACCCCGCGTCCGTATCGAAATCATTTGTATTAACGCGTGACTTTTTAAAAGAAATATAAATGCTATTAAAAATGATTATTATTATTTCCATAGTATCATTCCAGCTGTATATTTATGATCCATTAACGAACCCCAATTTGGCTAACATAGTTGAACAAGAGCTACGTGAACCGATTTACCAAATAAGTGGCTGATATATAGGTTACGTTTTATAGTACCGTAAAATGACCCACTTCTCGCAGAAGCTTTAAAAGCGGAGCAGTAAAACAGAGAGAAAGAGGGTGAGCGAGGAATCGGAATATATGAAGAGGTACATAGCGGAGAGCGTTAACGACTCTCCGGAAATGATGGTAACAACCTTGAAACCCAGAGACGTGACTCAACTCTGGCACAAATGGCGGTACATTAGACAAGTGGCAGGAGCAAAGTACGACGAGGCGCGAAGGTAATCAAAATTAACAATTCAAAGCCTCTGACGTCGTACTAGTCGTAGAACGTGTTGAAGACTCGGCAAGAGTGCTCTTGCCTTCGTCTCCTTATATCCGCAACCAACCAGCTAGTTGACAGACAGAGTTCGGGTAGTAATCTTCCAGTTGAAGACCAGTTCTAACGAAATTCCTCCAACACAGAGGAGCTGGAACTCTCGACTCGTAATTTGTTCGTGTTGCCATTCGACGCAATTCATTTGCTAAATTTGCCCTACGTCATGTCACGACGTACCGCTGTCCTCAACAGAATTCCAAGTTGGAGAACGCCGAACCGGAAATTGAACTTAACTTTCTATTTAGTTTTCGCAGCCAGTTCCAGAAGTTCACAAGTATGTAGCAGGATCAATTGCGGAAGGCTTGGCGAACGTTAGAGAACTCGCTC